TACAAAATTATAGGCTAGTTAATTTTGAATTTCGAACAAGTGGGGGTTGCAGCTTGACGGAGGTAGTAAGTGTTAATGTTATGAGATTTCATTTATGTTATGTAGCAGGTGCCAAAAGCGTAGTGATGTGTGGCAACAGCGCATCAAACTGCCGAAAGTCACTTTATACGCTGCCGGTACTGTAGTTTTATCGTCCTTTGCTACAAAGAAAATTAAGGAAAGAAATTGCAGCAGTTTTTAAGAATTTTTTAATTCACCCCAAATCTGCTCCTTTTTCAAAAATATTTTATGAATTTTTTGGAATAATTTTATTAATGATCTTTACCTTTGATGTACTTTTGTAATGTTAACTTTTTCTAATTTTCGAAAATTCAGGCAAAGAAAAGAAATCTTATTCTCAAGATCAGTCAAATGAAATGTAACATTTCTGTAATTTATCAACATTTATTCATTGGAATAATTTCCAAAAATATGTGTCAATTCATAATTATGATTATTGGTTGTTGATTTTTTTTTCTCACACAAGTTACCAAATGCATAATCTTACTTAGATAACAGAACAAAGGATTCCATGGGTGAAAATATATTAGCAATATTGTGTATTGAATGCTTTTTGTTTCAGAATTTCATGCAAATATTTAAGATATCATCTAAACACATTAAGAATGATAAAGTTCAGAAATCACCGTACCTTACTATGTCAAATATTAATATTTCAATGTGTATTGATGTAAACTGTCAATACAGAATGCAATTGTCAGATAGCATTTTCTCTAACCTAGCCATTAGAGATTTCCTCTGCAGCACAATGTGGAGAAAAAACATATCTGAAGTGATTCACTGTACAGGTGACCAGCTTACACACTCCTCATTCAATTCACCCATTTTGGAATGATACTGCAACCAGACTAGATTCCGCTTGAAAGGATTACATAATTGTCATTTCTTCTTTTGAATATGCTGCTTTCAAAAATGCAACTTATTAAAAGTGTAACATAACTTTTACTAGAAGGAATGATCAAAATTGTTTTCAACAATTTGACCACATATATTATGTAGTGAAATATTATAGCATAACATTTGTTTTGCTCTAGGATTACATTATAAACAGAAAAATCAAATAGTTATTGCAATTTTTTTAAATAAAATTTCAAAGAATAAGACCAATAATAAAGACACAATAATATTTTTTTTTTATATCATTAAACTAAAATTATGTTGTCTCGAACCAGAAGATGGTGGGTTCGATTCCTGCCTCGGGCATGGGTGTATTTGTGTTTGTATGTGTTGTCCTCTCACCCCTCATAATGATCATGATTTCATCTTCCATACCCCTAGGACTGAGCATTAATAATATAGCATCTATAACCCTGAGCATTAATAATAGATTCAGCAGAAATGCTGATCCCCCCTAATAATGTTTCATGTGCATACCCCCAGGAAAAAATATGACTGGGCCTTGGTGGGTATAACTGCACATTTGCGTGGTCAATACAAAGGCCAATTGACGACGGAAAAAATAATCTAAAATTATAAAAACTAAGAACATCAAATTCTAAAACTTATTTACATACAAATACTGTTTAAATCAAATCCTAAAAATTACAACTTGATACCAATATATTCATTCAATAAAGAAAATTTTTACAGCATTTGTTCAATGAATAATCAATAAGGATGTTATGTTTACAATTTGACATAAACAATAGTAGTTTAATGTAAATAATTTTTTAAATTTTAGAAATCATTGTTCATATTTTTTTTTAAAATTTTTTTTGTCAAAGAGAAATTTTAATTTTAAACGATCAATTTCACAAGTGCTTTTATGTAGCATACATTGTGGCTAAATATCTTTGACAATTTTAACACTAAATAGCATTGACAGAGAGTGAACTTCTGCCCATTAAAATTAAAGAAATCTCAAATCAGAGTTGACCATTATTTAATTTCTTGTGGTTGATCCTCTAATTAATTATTTCAAAAACAATAAATGTATAATTGTAATTTTTAACAAATTTCATAAAACATAAGTAGAATTAACAATTACAAAATTACTTATTTAGAGAGGGTCTTCACGCATCTGTTCAAAAAATTGCATCATATCAAATTTTATGAATGTAGTAATTATATATTCTGTATTCTATCTGTCCATTACATAAAACATTCACATTTTACTGTGTGCAATTTTGAGTTTTCTGTCAAAAATTGATCTTATTTGATCAATTATGATAGAGTAAGAATACTTAAAAACCACTTTCAATTATTGCTTTTATTTCATCATGCCGAATGTTTGTTTAAATCCATGTACTCCTGCAACTTGTAACACTCCTACAAGCAAACCTTATGATACACACATATGTGCATTTATTCTTATTTAATGCTCATCCTGGATAATATTAAAAATGATTTCATGAATGTGATACATTGTTATTATTAACATTAATTACATCTCAACATTGGCACGATTTGAAAATATCATATATGAAAAGTTCTTCTTGTTAGTTTAGCGTACACAAATTCTTTGAATAGAACATGAATTGGAGAGCAAAACATTTCACGCCTTTGTCCAAGCTGCCCCAAAATGCATGTCACCAATACTATCCAAAAAGTATTTGGACACATTCTTTTTATGGAGCCCAAAAAACTGAAGATGTATATTAATGAAGAGAGGATGCTTACAAAATCTCTAATATAAACTTAATTCAATTAGTACAACCATTTCATCACCATGACACTGACCCTCAACTTAATAGTTAACAATTTGCTGCTATCTCAACTCTTTCAAAACATTACGGATTGGTTGGAAACATTTCTTGAGACTGGTTTAAGTTGGCTGGTTGGAAAATTGGTTAAATATACTAGAGTGTTTGACAAAATTTCAGTTTCTTTATTGGATCATCTCGAGGACTAAAATTATACATTTCTTTTCTTTTGAAGAAATACTTTGTGCTCAGAGTTCATTTCTCAACTTCAAAAATTTTCATTATAGTGCAATGAGCCCCGAAAAGGGAATACATAATTGTGATTTCACTTTGTTTTAAAAGTACAGATGTAACAATACAGATGAAATTAATATACAAGAAATTAACATTAACAAAATTGGTTTTGAGCCCATAAGTTACTTAAAAACTGAATTTTTGTGACCAAATTCTACATGAGAAATCTTGAACTTGCAAAACTGGTATGAAAGATAACCAATACAAGAATCTCATATTTTAAGTATACTACAGCACTTGAACAACAAATCTGACAGATGTTATATGATTTCTTGATTACCTACTGCTTACATCTCACAATAAATACTACTTCAACAGATTCGGTTAGTTATTATTGCAGCATAATACATAACTTAATTGTATAGTGCTCAATTCAGATGTTTACAAGTTACCATTAAGATAATCCTCTTAAAAAAAAATTCAATACTGTACATAACTGATACTTTCTTTGCAAGATGGTTCCAGATAGTCAATGTACTTTTCTCTGAACTATTAAAAAACGGAATAGGCAAACCTCTTCAGTGAACATTTCATGAAAAAACATTTTGGTGGAGTGGGGAAAATAATAGAATTTATAACAGACAATTGTACTAAAATGATTCTTCGCTTCCAAGTTCCATTTTCCAAAGTCTAATAAAGCAATACTTTATGCTCTTCAAAACGAGACTTACCTGTTAAAAGATCTTTCATTAACTTTTCTGGCCACCTTTGATTTTAAGTATTTTTCATGATTGTATTACTAGTAACAAATCTGATGAAGCACACACTTGCTTTAAGTGGTTCAGAAATCTAACTTAAGAAATATTGATGTTCTGAACACCTTAATATACTAAAACATTTAAAATGGGAGCTATTCAAAAAGTTCAGAAGAGGAATAGAGTTCTCCAGCATAAAATCCAATATCTATGTCGTTTCAACTCAATATACCAAAATCTTTAAAGCTAATATGTACCTCAAAAAGTCAATTTTTTTCACGTATTTCTTGCATACTACAAGAAAAAAACTAATGACAACTAGCATATTGATAAGTGCATATTCATTACTAGTACACACAATAGTAAACTTCACAAGGATGCTCTTCCCACACGTAGTTCTAGAAGTGCTTTCATACACACATTAAACAAAAAAATCCTCACAAATCCAAGCTCAAAAGCATTCATTAACCAAGAAAATATATTGCTTTGTACCCTAAGTTTAACATACAAACTAATAAAAATATCTGAAAATTATATTGGACCTTTTTCTGCTCTTCAAAGGAAGTTCTTTGAAAAAATATTTTCCCCAGGATGATAATGAAATTTTCAATTTAAGTACTTGAAAGTGCAGGTAAAATTACCATAATAACATATTAGTTCACATTATACCATAATTCATAATTATTAATCCTCTTAATTAATTTTTATGAATTCAATGTGTATCATTTGTTTTCCAAATTTGAACAGATTTTTGTCGGAAGAATTGTATTTTGTATGTAATGTGAGTGAAGGCAACATTTCTTTTCAATGATACTTCACAGAAAAAATGTTCAACTTGTACTGAAATAATATATTTACATATGAATTTAAAAATATACAACACAAAATTCATAAATTTGCTAAGAAAATCAAGACTTGCTACAAGAATACCAGAGGTGCAAGAAAATAATAATTTGGATTTTGTACATTTAGGACATTTATACTGAGGAAAAATTATGAAAAAACATTTTTTACAGCAACAGTTCCTACCAAAAACAGCAAGCTTACAAAAAAATTAATTTCACACATCTGCATCCTAACATTCTGAGTCAGAGTTGGTTTGTTAATCGAAAGTATTCATCTGAACCATTACAACATTATTTATAGTTTATTTTAAAAATCCACAAGGAACCAGTTTAGCAATAGGTTAACAGTATGCCAAGAACTGAATAAGCTGAGAACCAATAGGAAGTACATTGTTTATTCTAAGAGTATTAATCTCCAGGAAGGTTCTTTGTGAATATATTACAGACCACAAAAAATATCAATATTTTACTCAAGCCTGTAGAAGTAAAGTCAGTAAGTTATATTATCAGTTATTGTACAGAGACATGACATAAATCAATCTACATAATCACTCATTGCCAGTCTAATGTTGATATCAAATAAGAGTGGGGTGAAAATGGCCTCACAGGGGTTATGCTGTTGATCTCCCTAAAAAAAAACTTATTTAAAAAGTTGTGGTCAAACGTGGACTCTAAATGTTTTTCAAATCACCCCACAATGAAACTTGTTTATTGTTACTTCACAATAAAATTTCCCTGAAATATTTAGGTATTTTTCAATTAATCAAAAATGTTACTTTAAGAAGTAGATAGCTACAAGAATGTGAAAGTCAGTAATAAGATAATAACCCAACAAAATCTGTTTGCATGAATGTTTACAAAACACTAGTATTAGCTTCAATTTCAATAATCATAACTTTGTATAACTACAGAAATTAAGACTGAATAGATTCCTATAGAACTGGTTCAGGCACCACCTCCATCATGTATCCCTTGAGCATTACAGTTTGAGAGCACCTGGTGTCCTCAAATCTTTCTAAATAAATAAAATTGAACAAAGAAGCAAATTAAAGAATACCTTATATTTATATCATTGGGACTTATAAAATTAATTTAAATCTGATCATGGAATCAGAAACAATGGGGATATGTAATCCAATATGTAAGAAGGCACATATAATTACAATTGCTACACAACTGCTTAGGAATCCCAAAGGTCAGGACCAATTTCCGGTTGCTAATATTTTATAGTTATTATTAAATGTTGCACTACTTAGGTGTAAGACAATTCACATTTGCTACTTGAACTTGCTAGTTTGAGCACACGCGACCAGTACACTCCCGAGATTGAAGGATGTGTACAAAAAATCCAAATAGCCATTCACAGTATGCTATAAAACAAAAATATTACCAATCCTTCAGTAGCACTATGAACTTAATTTTTAAAACATCGCTCCAAAAATTTAATATACTTTGCTTTCAGATACTCCCTTCTTCATTAATCCCTGAAATAACAATATTTCAATGTTGCCATTCCCAGCAGAAATGAGCTTGCTTAGGTTGTTCATGATTTGATTTAACTGCTTCAAGCAGAGGATTTTGATTTTCAGGCTTGGCTACACAGAGAGAATCATCTTTAAATGGAAGGAAGTATATGTTCACTAAATATTATGTTGACTGGTGTTATATTGTGCTAACCTGCCACAAAGAGAAAGCAATTCAATGAATAGTGTCCAGAAGGATTTAAGATCAATTATCATTTTGCTACTAATCATTAATCAGATAATTATTTATAAATAATTTTGCTTCAAATTTACATGGCTTATAAGGCAGCTTGAGATATCTTGCTTATGTAACTATGTAATTTAAAATTAAAGAAGATTTGAATAGAGGTGGTATGTTTGTCCTGTTCTGCAACTGCACTGTTCATTCAATAATTGAGAAGAATTAAAAAGAGAATGACATTGATAACCTGTCAGTGCTAAAAGATTGAAGATGCAGATGGGTGAAGTTATTTCTTTGAACCATGATGCAATAATACTCGGTACTGTCGGATTTGAAAGCAGAAAATAGGCCCTCGCTCAAAACTTATTTGGGAATAATGGGACATTGCCCACTATGGTCCATTTACTGTGGAAACAGGAAAAATAAAAATGGTACCACTATCACAGATAGAAAATTAGTTGCAAGAAAAGAAATTCAAAGCATCACTTGCAGTGATTCAGTGCTGCAAGTGATATCACAGTGAAAACAAATGACAAATATGACCACATAATAAAAAAATATAATGAATATGACATTATCCTTGTTACGTTACATTCTGAATGTTGTCTTCTTGAGTCTTTATGAGTTTTTGCAGATGAAAACCTTCGCACATGTGTTATTTACAATCCTGTGCATATATTGTTTACCACCCCATACAATTCCTGGTACTGGGGGAGGGTATTGAATCAGACTTGCATGCATATTTCACAAGAAACCACATAAAATACATTTTCCTAAAATGAAAAAACATTATGTCAGAACAAATTATAAAATCATGATGTTTATCATTTTGAAGGAAATTGTCCATGTTTTCAAATCCCCTTCATGGTTTTATAAAATCACTGCAAGTCCATGAGAAGCTTTGAATTCAAAACGGAAGCATGTGGCTACTAATTACTCATAATCATAGAAATGGATGTTGCATACTAAGATTAAAAACTTAATTTACTACGCTGGCAAAAGATTACAATGAAATACCAAACATGCAATATCAAATAATGAGAAAAATATGAAGACAAAAGCTACAGAATACGCATCAGCAGATTGTCATGTATTCAAATGGTGTTATTCTTTTCTTTGGGTACCGCATATATGTTTTTCTTTACAACAACACATACACATTTATTTCTCCCAGTAGATCTTTTCAAAATGTTCCAAGTATATCATACATCTTTGCATGGACCCCCAAATATTTTAGTATCTTCCAGGAGACATAAGGAAACCTCCAAATCTCAAAGGCTCTAAGTCAAACAATGTTGTGAATTATAATTCTTTCTGTTAAATAATTAAAATAATTGAGAGCACTTGCAAGAAAAAATTTCTCCATCTTGCAATACTCAGGTTTTTGTATTATCAAGTAATTCTTGAAAAATTGTTAAGCAACATTTCAACTGTATGTAATATTTTTAAGTGAAAGTTTGATAATTTACTGTTTCACTAGTTCCAAAATCCCTCCATTACTCACTTTCATTATCCTACAAAAGTAAATACCAGAGATGCAAAATAAATCATATATCACAGGAATACAGTACGAGAGGCAATTTCAAAAATTCAAAAGCTGTAATTTTTCATGAATAAAATTAATTAGTTAGAAAATTGTAAAAACCATCTTTTAGCAGAGTAGAGTTTGAGCTATCAGATGGGCAATTAAGTGTTTATCAGCTAATTACAAGATCAAATAAGCAAATTACTGGAATTTCAAGATAATACCATTCAGACACTATTAACACCAAAAGAAATTAGCAGTTGCTTGAGCAAATGGGCAGCTGTGCCTGTAAATTCCATCTGATACCACAATATTTGTTTACAAATTGTCTCGTATTAGACACTTACTTAAAAACAAAAATTAATACGAATCTGTAGAAAAACATGAATCTGTTGAAGCAAATTTGACATGGAGTATGTGAAGCACTGATAGTGTATAAAAGTGTGGTCACACAGCAACTTTTGATACAATGATTGTTTTCAAACTTTTGGGCAGCCACAGAAATTCAGGCATTTTGCATTGAGCACACCAGGTGCTGTTAAATCACAAAAAGAATCATAGCTATTTAAATTTTGTCAGACAACAACTTACGGATTTATTGATGAAATTTGCCTTAAGAACTCAAAAAGAAATATTTTCAGCAATTTCTTATCTAATTATATTAACTTATATTACTATTGGTTTGCCTTTATCTTTAATGTGGAGAGTCATGTCCATTCAGAGACAATTTCTCAATAGCCACAATAAAAAAATTAAAAAAAAAAAACACTTCATGAAGTTCAATCTTAACAACCATACTTGCCGTATAAAAACCCTGCTTAAGTTCCTGTATCATTCCTCACTTACACTATAAATGATGTTTGATTGTTCTCTCACTGCTAACCATTAATTTCATAACAAATCACTTCCATAATTCCAATACATATTCTCTATAAAAGAAGTGTTGTAGTTCATTTGCCATCTAAAATTCTTGACAAATGATGCTACGCCACTTTCACAACAGTCCCCTGCAACGTGAAAAAGTCTTCTTCCCACAAACTTTACTCTCCTAAGGAAATTGAAAGTAAAGAAAATGTACAAAAGCTGCAAAACATTTTTTATATCACATTTAACTGCCGATGTAAGGTTTGTTACTGTCAATCTGCCAACAGTATACAATCATCACACAAAATGTAAATATAGCTATTCATTTTAATAACTTCTATTTTGTATATGCATCTAACAAATGAAATCACTCAAAATTGTAACAAAAAAGTTTACAAAATTGTATGTGATTGCTTACCTGTACATGCTTAATAACATGATCTTGGACTAAATGTACTTCAACAATTTAATACAAAAAGCTGTTAAAAACTGAAACAAAATGCACTACTTTAAAGCACTGACTGAAATTGTGCACATTATGAAGTCAAGCAATTCTTCTGAATGTTTCAATCAACACTGCGCTACTCCTCTCACCAGCTGAAAGCACTACCTTCTCACGTGCAAGAGAGGATTATATAATAGTATACCAAGGAGCACTTGATAAGCTGCTCTGTTTTGTACTAGGGCACCATTTAGCCTGCTTATTTAATAATCAGTTCAGCAGCTTCAATGCAATCACAAATTAAAACTTCAGTTTCGCACACACTGGGCTCAGTGACCAGCAAAGGAATCAAGCCACTGACATAAGAGTCCATGCTGCAAAATACTATACGTGAACTGTCTAGACATGATAAACTGTCACCTTAGCTCATTAGATTCATACATTTGAAATTTCCTTATTAACACAACAATCAATTAATTTATATCTTTTGGCTATAACATTTCTGTTCAATTTTTGCTCAGTACCAAATTTTCTAACACGTGAATTAGCACACTGCAGATGAAAATCTTGATTTACACAGCACTTCCACTTAATCAGGAGGAAGAAACGTGAAGAGTTTGAAACGATCACGAATGTGTGGACGAACATCCTCCTGAAAGACAATCCCACACAAGGTAGTTAAAAATCAAACAAATGAACATCACATATATTTCGTAATTGAATTATTTACTTATTCTACATAAAGCAACATAATATTAATCAATTAAGGGAGAGCATTAAACACATATGTATATATAGTGACACTACATGTATTGGGAAGGTTTAAGGAATTATAGTACGCATACCAATGATGTACATACACTTCCAATAATCATGCTTATGCTACAGTGAATTGTGAAGAAATGGACTGTACGAGTTTTACATATACATTTCATGCATCAAATAAAATTAATGTAGTAACTACATTCTTCACAACAAATCACAGATAATGCACATATAATGACCATTATTTCAACACAAAAATCTCTTGATTTGTGCATCAACTATACATTGGTAAATTAAAATTAAAATTTGAACTATCAGTGAAGGCAACAAGCCTTGCGACAAAAGGATATTTTTAACACATTTTCCAATATTGGGTAATGCTTAAAGCAAAAGAAGCACTAATATTACTCACGCATCGCTACAAATATACAATGGTCTCTGATAGAAACAAATTTAATGTTTAATACAGAGCCAGCAAAGAATATCTCTGAAGCAAATGAATGCAATGAAACAATAGTTCATACAATGGAGCATTTCTCTACTAGATTGTGATAAGTATAAACGGCTCTTGGTAATTTAAATACATTCATTTAACACTTACCCGGTGCACAAGATCCTCAAGAAAAGGAAGCAATTTCATGAGCTCCCTGTCAGTACGATCAACAAACCAACTTTCTATTGGGATGCCATTTTCCAACTGCAACAAATAAAGCAATTATTACTGAATCAGCAGGAAAATCCTACACAAGAACATCCATATATTTTTTTTTTTTGGAAATAATTACTTCACCCAAGAAATTGCCACAAATTCTCAGCAACAGAATTTGAGATTAATCCATAAACTTTAAAGATTAACCTTTAAAAATAATTTTCCTTTATCTTCTCCCATGTTCCTCTCTCTCCTCTCATTGCACCATCAACATAACTAAATTCTTGTGGCATGACACACAGTTATTATTGAAAAGAAAGGTGTCAAATGCAGCTAGTCCAGTTTATCAACATTCATTATTTCTTTCTAATTTCACACTGATTTTTTTAAGACCACTGTCACCACAGATTATGAAAAAATCAAAATTAATTTATTTGTCAAACCATTTGGTATGTGAAACACGATTTTCTGCTATTCAAGACACAATGTATTTTAACAACTTACTTGCTTACACAGAAGTCTGAAATATTAGGTTATGTTTATTCTACCACTACCAGTATGTAACAATAAGACATTGCCATGTCCTCTGCAGACCACTGACTATCTTTTATCGTATTGAGATTATCATCGCAATTTCTACAGAAGTACTGTTTTTCATAAATTTTCAAAATAAAGCATCAACTCTATTCTCTATTAAGAAAGTAATGTAACGCTGCAAAAATTCAAGTGTGCGAGTGTTTTTTTCCTTTCTTTCTTCCCTCCCCTCCGAAAATACAAAGTAAACCGCTACTAGATGTGAACACATATGCAATTGAGTAAAAATGTGCAAAACGTCCGCATGAGTTCAGCTAGTATAATATGATTACGTAATAGTGTCAAATAATACAAGAAATTAAGTGCTGAATCTCAGTGGCACCAGTAGTTTATTATGTACAACAGAAGAGGATGGTTGATACTACTCATTTTCACGGAAAATCTCCTTACAGCATATACATTCAAAACTCGCAGTCATATTCTAATTGCTTAATACATACATGTCTGCATTGCTTAATATAATTTATACATGTGAAAAATTGGAACACGATATGTAACGTTCAGGTATGGGCCTTATATGTTTTAGAAGGTTGCCATAGCCATAAAAGTAAGTTTACCAGTAGAATCCTAATAAGATTACTAGTAGAACCCTATAAAGATTAATCTTAATAAGGTGTTCTGAAAGGACAGAATTATTTCTTAAAAATTAATTCAGCTGATAAAAAATTAATACGGGAGAATTTTCCATCTCTTAACAAATGGACCATTACTAATAGAATATTCACTCTAAGTGATATTAGTAAACAAAATCAAACAGAAGTAAACTAGCGATACTCATGAACATGATTATTTTTCTCAGCACTTTGCCCTATGTACACGGCAAAGAAGTTACGGTCACATAAAATAAGTGTTACTGCAAAGTAAATAAAACAAAGGCACAATATGGTTTAACAGAGCTGTTTTTTTGCATAGTGGGAATGATTACAAGACTGCAGTAATACTTCACTTATACATATTTCAGGGGACTGAAGGGAAAAAATGTATATGTGAAAAAAACGCATAACTGAAAATGATTATTATGAGCAAAACAGAAACTCATTTTTACACTATTGTTTTACAAGTTCTTTAGCAATATCTACTTTTTTATTGCCACTCTCCCTAACAACTCTTAAAACTTTTATTTTATCTGATATTGAAAGGTTACTTTTTTTCTATCACTCTTTTTTCGTTTAATATTGCAGATGCAAAAATAGATAGATGAACTATACTTCAATTTACACACAGAGCCACAAAACAATGCTGGTCGGCTTGAAAAAAAAAATCATCAACCGAAGGTCATCATCAGGGCTCAGATTCTGATGTCATGTCATCTTTTTATTTGTTCATTCTACAAGTAGCTGACGTGTGTTCATCACGACATGTAAGTAATAGAAATGCATAGTTATTGGGTCATTTTTTGCCATTCTAAGCATTTTGTTTCCTTGTGTTTTTTGTCAGTGAATGTTTCATGAACCTACAATGAAACACTAAAACAGTAGTTTTTTTCAATTTTTTCAATTTTTTTTTTTTTTAAATCATGAGTTCATGTTCTCCACTACAGCAGTGGACTCTCATTTTATTAGTCATTTTCAAAAATTGTTTAGGTATCAGATTCCGAGCCCTGGTCATCATCGAAGAAAAGTCTCCCCTAAGGTGGAGGTAGCGGACACGCAATGGGGACCTTACTGATGACCTTGTGTGACTCGGTTTCACTGCGGAAACGAAGGCCGTGTCCTGCGTGGGCTAACTGGCGATCCATGGCTGGTTGTTTCGTTTTCAAGCTTGATGTGATTTGAGATTCGGCGGGTCAAAGCACGGTGTTCTACGTGGGGGACAGGAAGCGCACGACTGCCACAGCCTGGCGAAACCCGCCGCGCCGCGCGGAAAAGAAATCAGTTTCATTAGTTGCTTGTGCCATGCCGCTACCGAAAGCATCTCGTATGTTATTACGACGAGCAAAAGGGCCTTCGGAGAGTGGGACAGTCAGTGCACAAACTTCACTTATTGGTCATCTGCGTCGTTACTCTCTCACGGGGACACCTTTGACCTTCCCTCGGAGCTAGCTGACGCCTCCTGAGATCTTCAAAGAGCTCCCGTACGCAACCGACTCTGAAATTTTTCGAAGTTCCGCTGCCAGAGGAGGTCCGGGAGCCGACTTTGCGCTAGAGTTCTGCATTCGGGCAAGAACAACCGCTCGAGATTTGCGTGGCTCCGCGCCGACGTTTGGCGTAAAGGGAGAAGGAGATAGCTGTTTAACGGACTTTTCGACCGTCCGTCTTTCAGCTTCCGATGATTTGCAGAACACTCGAGCGTCGCCGAGCGCTCGACAGCCTTCCGACGCTCTTGCTCCGCCGCTATACGCATGTACGGGATTTAAAGTCGCCGCGCATAGTGATCGCATAACTTTCAATGAATTGTAATTAATTAATAACAATAAAACGTAATTAATTAATAATAATACAATTTTAATTAAACGCTTCACTAGTTGAAAAGTAACAATTTATCGATTAAATGGAAATAATTTGAGAGAAGACAAAACAACACAATTTTTGAAAGAATTGAAGACAAAGAGAAAATCAATTTTAAATCAACTTTTTAGCTATATCAATACAATGAAATTTAAAAAACTAAAATAATTTTCATCCATTTTTACATTGAGTTATTAAACAATGTCGAATAAATTTTATTAATTGGAATCTCTAATAATGCAAATGAGGATCTGCAGTATATTTTCTGATAAGCAAAGAAAATACTATATAAGGCAAATTGTTTACAGTCCGGACTAATATATAAAAGCACAAAAATATTGGCTAAGGGAAAATAATTCGTTTAGTACCAATTTTAATATCGCATAAGTTTCTTACAAATCCGAATATAAGACATATTTATTAAACACAAAGGACATTTTCCACAATCTGATGAATATATAATAAAAACGCTTAGGCTAAACAAAACTGATGTGGGTATTTTTCCTTACGTTAAAACGTCTTGTTATAAGCAGGAAAAAGCAAACACAAATACAAAATTGGAAGGGAAAGGCACTATTATATTTCATTGCACGTGTAGTTAAATTCGCAGAACATCTGTATATACACAACAAAATGAGAGAAAATGAATTATTTTATAACATTCTTGAGCGATAGAAAAGTCTAGTATTTTTAGTATAAGCCGGTAATAATCGCAGAGAATGTTACCTCCCCGCAGGCTCGCACAGTCTTGGCCTCTCTGCTATGCCGAGTCGAGCTTCTATATTACAAGTTTCATTAGCGGGAAGTTGCCTCAGAAGGCCGAGAGACAAGTCGCTCCGCGGGAGCGCTATGGGGCGTGCCGACTCGAGTAACATTTAAGTTCCGGACTCTCGGCGCAGGTCGCTCCGCGCCTCGACCGGGATCATTTGAACGTTATATGGTCTTAAAGGGACTTTTATTATGAACGTATAAGTGTGAAAAACGTACAAATGTAAAACGCGTAACTGAAATAATTTAGCATGGGAATTATAGGAATTTATCCCAGACTTACATAGAAAGTAAAACAGAGTTTCACTGCATATACTGATATTACAAGTGAATTTGTTTTAAAAATGAATATACACAACTGGTACGAAAGTCTCCAGCATAATCATTTCAAAATGCAAGACTCGATTCTTATTATCACCTTGTTCATCAGCATTTGCTTCATTCGGCAAAGACTTTCGTATGAGGTTGGTAGCTCGCCTAGTCACAGCAGCAGTGCCCTTCCCCATTTGAGTTCGTGTGATCAATAACCCGAAGTCATTTTGGGTAGTAACCCGTCTCACAATATTCCCAGTGGTATATGCAGATATGATTTTGGGACCAAGGTGAAGGACAGTACACTTATCATGGTTAAGAGATTGCCATAGTGTTGACCATTTAATATCCTTAGTAAATTACGTTGTAGGATGTCATTATCTTTAATTGGTTTGGCAAAGATTTTGATGTCATAAGGATTACGTTCCATACTGATTAAAATCTCCCACTCACTGACATAAACGATAAATAGGACTGTTCCACGAACTCAGTGGCGCAACTTTCGGGCCCGCAATACGGGTGGACCTAGGTAAAAGAGAGCCTATTTTTAGGGGATGCACTAAAATGTTTTTAAATAGACACCAAAAAAGGCAATAAAAACTTAAAATTGGAGGAAAAAGTACTATATGTTTCACTGCACTGGCACCTAAAATTAGCCAATATCAAAAAACAATATAGTAAGCGAGCAGAATGAATATCACGGCCGGCAGAGATATAGGCCCTAATGATTGGCCTGTACTAAGCACTTCCCCGAAGAACATCTGGCATAGAAAAATATCCATGTCAGAAGTCAGGATCATCGCCTTGCTTTCTGACTTCTACGTTGTGCTTTAATTACGTGATGTATTTGTCAAATGATTAATTTTCCATGTCATATAGACATATTAATTACCTTTAAATATTTTCATTAGAATAAAATAGGCATTTTCTGATGTCTACAAATTACTATTTCTTACTGTATAACCGAAAACAATTCCATGATTTTGAAATGATTTTCTCCATTTTCATTGGAGGGGGATTGTTAGACTACAGATTATAGAATTTATCTCACAATTCATCTTAAACAGGATATCATTCACATTCATTAGCATTACTTGACAGGAATTCCAAGTTTATGAGGTCGAATAGCTGTGTTTACATTGGTTAATAGTCAAGACTTTCTGCAGTTGGGTTTGCAGCTATGCTCGTTCGATGGTGTGTATCTCTCTTTAAATTTAATCTGTAATTTCACAATGAATGCAAAGTAATCACCATGTCTGAGAGCTGGAATTAGTATTGGAAGAGTTAAATCTTCCACATTGGCCAACATGAGATTCAAAATCATGGATAACTTATCCACTCGGTTCGTGAATTCTCTGAATCTGAACACGGTATTAACCATTTCCATTCTTTCTCTATACTAGCTTTATTTAGTATATGAAATAACTTTGAATGGGATTCATGCAGTCTTAAGTTGAGGAATTGCAATCTGTACGTAGTACATCCTATGGCAATTTTCTTACGACCTATGGATATATGCGACCAGAAGCTTTCTACTACCCAATAGTAGAAATATTTAGATACTTATAAATTATTATGACTATCATTTTAAAGCTGACTTTTGATGTAAGAGATTATATATGTTAGTGTATATTATTTTCAGATGAGTTATTGAGGATCTTGCAGCTACTACTTATGTCATTTCCTTGAAATTTTACAATTTGGTATAGCATTTGATAGTCAAGTTCTTCTACTTGGCATCCAAAACTCCGTGTACAGCTTTCAGTTCTTCAAATTGTGGAGAAGTTAAATCTTTGTTGGCAAGTATACATTGAGGCAATTTCAGTGCCTATTTAAGGATATTCCCGGTAGATTCAGAACTCCTTAGCCCTACTTTCACAGGTCTTGGTTTGGTTTAAAGTCTCTCTACCAAGACTAATGACAAAAATTTCAATGTTCTTGCTGAGATATTTTCATCACCCCCACATCAGCTTTACATTCTCCAAGTCTTCCATATGTCTATCTTTTGGACGATGTTCAATGGATTCTCTCACATCATATATGATTACATTTCAGCTGTGACCATTTCTTTCTTCAATTTCCTAGTTTATCTATAAATATCTCATCTCATCATGTTCTTATTGAGGTGATTATTCATTTTCTTCTACAAGTTCTTCTCTTCCAATCATCAGTGCCCTCAATTCTCTTTTCAGCACTGTCACAGCGTCTTTCTATTTTCTATTTTCTATTTTACAGTTACTTAAAGTGCATTCACAGTATTTTTAACCCTTAGTCAAAGCATTTTGATAATAAGGCAGAGTGATTAGATACACAAAAAGTGTTAATTTTACAGAAATAAAGTTGCAGGTTTCTAAAAGTGTTTTTAATTTTCTATTTAAAGTAATGTTTATACACAAATATGAGAATTTAAAATTATATCAATGTTAAGTCTGTGTACTTAAGAACATGTTCATCAATGAAATAAGAAAAATTTATGCTGAAACACGGACAAGGCTGACTGGGGCCCTGGTGGGCTAACGCAGCTAAGCTTGCACCATTAAATACTGAAGATGCTTCCTTGAAGAGCATTTCAAAAAAGTGTTCCACGGAGCAAGAGTCTGTCCTTATGATGGCCCCTGGATCCTCTATGTGACAAAAGCTCAAAGTAGCTAATGAGAGAAGGGTAATAGGAAGTCTACACTTGAAAATGGCAACATGGGACTAGGGGAAAGAAAACCCTGGCAGCAAATTAAGGAAGGGAAGGAGAGACCCTCTCTATGTAGCAAAAAACAGTATCCCTAGCGGAATAACTTCCTAAGAAGAAAAAATGTGCATCAAGGAGGTTTGGGGATTG